TTCCCTAGAGTATCATTTCTTTGTTTAACGGTTGCTCATGAGAAGACACATGAATATGGATACAACTCAAACGAAGAATCTTATTCTCAAGACCATGTGTCATTCCCTAGAGTATCGTTTCTTTGTTTAACGGTTGCTCATGAGAAGACACATGAATATGGATACAACTCAAACGAAGAATCTTATTTTCAAGGGAATGACACGTAGTCTGAAATGGGGAAACATTACGGTTAAGGTGAAGAGGTCTATTCGATTTTTTTTAAAGACCTTGACTGTACTTTTGTCTATTATTTCTGTAGGCGTTTTGAGGGATGAGAAACCAACCAATCAAAACGTAACCACGCCAGCTCCTACTCTGAAGAATGCAAGTAAGAAAATAATCTATTGTCATTTTCGCCTATGTTTGCATTAAAAAAATTAAGAAATTAAATTAAGGAGTGTAGCTTTTTTTCAATCATCTATTTCTACTGAGACTTCATGGACCTAAGAATATGGTAACTTTTATACAGGGATCGTACAGGATGGACAGCAGATCAATACTGTGATGCTGACCGTACCTAGCAGGGCTATACCAGGATCAATTAAGGCCTCTATCTACTTAACAGGTCAGTTATCATTTATCTTTATCTATTATTCTGTATTAAGGACACAGTAAAAATTGGAAAACAAAAGGTATCTAAAACGAGGAGAAAAACAAAGCAAAATCCTAGGTTTCTTATGAAAAAGAGTTTTCACCACCTTGGAGTTCCCCAGTGATCTCACCTTGGGCCACCGTTATCAGGGCAAAGGCCTAGATTACTTTGTATGGTTTAACCATGTTGTTGTAACTAGAACTATCTTCGTCTGCTTGGGAAGCGCACGGCAATGAAGTTATATTCCTGACCATATTTTATTACACATCGAAGCGAGACGAACGGTGAGCTTGCAATGATAGAGACATGTGAATAATTGCCCAAGGTGTTAAAAAAGGTCTCTATCATTACAAGCTCACTGTTCGTCTCGCTTCAATTCAAAGGCACCTACCTTTCGAGATGGYGCAGGGAACTGTGAAAGGGACTATTGTACGATTTAGCGCGTTACGTTTTACCGAGAATAACTGCGCAAGATCTGAAAGCGATATAATTTTTTATTCCTCTACAAACCCTCTGACTTGATAAATGATACTTATTTATTTATCTCACGATTGTGGGTCATTTGTAAAAGGTCCTTCTACGTTTGACCCTTAAACTTGGGACGAGTGAATAGGTATTATTTATTACGATTCCCGCGATAAATAATATTTTTTATTCTATTAACCACTGACTTATCAAGCAAGCCAAATTTATTTCGTAGCTAATTTCCCTTCTCCTTCCCCCACAGGCAATCTCATTGGTCCTGTTGTGACCAACCTCATCAAAGGAGGCCTTGAAAACATTCTGCGCATGCCCATGGGATGCGGAGAGCAGAATATGATTTTCCTTGCACCCAACGTGTACGTACTCGAGTATTTGACGAACACCAGGCAGGTTACTGCCGAAGTAGAGACGAGAGCTTATCGATTCATACAACAAGGTAAATCATTTACTTTGAAGGAGCTGGCGTAGCTCAGTTGGTTATTTAGTGCGCGTCCTTCCATCCTCAGGATCTCCAAGTGTGTTTTGACTTCTCTCTAATCCATGTAGCTAGCTTCAGCTTTAAATACTTGAATACTCTAAAGCAGAAGAAGGAACTAATTTCTGAATAGACCTAATCGACTAACGTGTTGCTATGTACGTTACCACCCAATTCAAACCTTCTGGGAATAGAAGCGTTTGTCTCTACGAATTCAACTCTGAAACCAAAGTATAACGAACAATGAAACTTATTCCCAGAAGAATTGAATTGGGTGGTAACGTACATAGCAACATGTTAGCCGATTAGGTGTATAGTCCCTTTTCTCACTCCGTAAATACCGCTGTGTTTTATGACTACAGACTCATTTGTACAGGCTTAGCCTCGCTTGAGAGAAAATGATTTTGAAAAAGTCAACTGTAATGTAAAGACGTTCTTCAATATCAATGTTTTGAAATCCCATGGACTTTTGATGGTATCTGTGAATAGCTGACCTTAAACGAGGCTAAGCCTTACCTGTGCAAATGAGTCTGTGGTCTTCAAAAACAGCGGTATGCATCGAATGCGAAACTGGTGTATTCCGTTTCTGTCTTGAAAATAAGTGTGCAAACGCAATCACCCGGCTACTTTGATAAAATAGAACCCTCAGACATATGATGAGGCGCATTTTGACTGGTCTATTTTCTTTTCTCGTCAAGGCTATCAACAGGAGCTAGGATTTCGACGCACCGACAAGTCCTTCAGCGCCTTTGGGGAAACGCGACCTGGAAGCACTTGGTAAAGATCTAAGTTTCATACAGTAAAGCTGTTTTGCTGGATGACACGAGCAAAGGCAGCCATGTTGGATGACATGAGAAAAGGCGGCCATGTTGGATGAGATGAGAAAAGGCGGCCATGTTGAAATAATTATAGATCTGGCCCCTCATCAACCCCCCTCCCCCCCCAAAATTAAGACCATTAAATTAATGCAATTTTATTTTATCAATTATCAAACAATAGGTTGACCGCATTTGTAGTCAAAGTATTTTGTGCAGCAAGAAAGTTCGATGGCATTGCTATTGACGACGATCTGGTGTGCGATTCCATAAAGTGGTTGCTTAGCAACCAGAGATTGGATGGCGCTTTTCCCGAAGTGCACGATCTTGTTCACAAATCTCTTCTGGTAAGTTGCTCTCCTAAACTTGCTATATGTAATTAATTTGATCTTTTTGCCCTCATTTTTTGAGTTTATTGCTTCTAGTCATTCTTGATTCGAGGTTTTTCCCCGGGTTCTCCTTAGGGTTAGGGCTAGGGCTAGGGTTTTTTTCCTCGCTCCACAAAACCTAACAATCTGTGCCCTAGCTCAGGTGGGTGAAGTTGGGTGAAGTAGTCGGCCGACTGATACGATACGAATGCGTGCAGCAAAAACCAGAGAATTAATGTATGAAGTTTTGCATTGAAAGATCTTTTTTTACCCCTCTAATTCAGATGAATGATCACTGGGGTGTCTTGAACTGCCTTAATATTTATCAACTTGTTGATTTTTGTCAAATTGTTTTTATAGACCCCTTGCACGTGACGTCAAAGCAGCTCAATTTGGAGGACAAAACAGGATAATTTCATGAGAATTGGAAACCTTTTGTTATGTCCTCCAAATTAACCTGCATTCCAACTTGCTCATGCAAGGGGCATATTGAGAATGATATATGATATTAATAGTGTTTCTGCATCCGTTCCAGGGCGGGGTTCATGGTGATGTTGCGATGACTGCTTTTGTCCTGACTGCTCTTCTGGAATGCAAGTGCTCAAGTCAGGTAAGCATAAGCTCTCTGTTTTCTTTATTTCATCATTCTTGTTCTTCCTTACTAAGACACCCATGGTCTCTTGTCTTTATCTTTTCTAGGGGGATTTTCTTGTCATAGACTTCTTGCAGCACACCTCTTGCAACACATCGGAATGCAGCTCAATAGCCCACTTCCGAGATATGCTTCGCTTGTCACGCACAAAGGTTTCAGTATGAGGCTACGTGATAAATGCTCAGTCATTCGTGACAGGCGGTAAGAATTAATTTAATTTAGCACGTAGCCTCATACTGAAACCTTTGTGCGTGACAATCGAAGCATATCTCGGAAGTGGGCTACTGAGAGGACATAATAGTCTTCTCATGAGATTGGAATTTTTTTGTTTTGTCCTCCAAATTGAGCTCCTTTGAAGTCACATGCAAGGTGGGGGGGGAGACTTTTTATTCTTGGAGAAATACTTGATATAATATTAGTTGTGATTCCCTTTGCTTTGATCTAGAACTCAGACGTTAACATCAGAAGAGCAGTCCAGTACTTGGAAAGCGAATTGGCGTCCCTAAACAAAGCACACGTCCTCGCTCTTACCACCTATTCTCTGGCTCTTGCTAAGAGTACTCTTAGCTCTAAAGCAAACCAAAGGCTCTTCCAGATGTCTTCATTTGATAAAGGTAGTTGGGAAGTGTATTTAGTACTTAGATTGATAAAATGATTGTGGGTGATGATCATGAAGATGATGATGGTCTTGTTCAGGTGATGATGACCTGTTGATGATGGTATTGTTGCGATGATGATGATAATGATGATGATAATAACAAGTATGATTACGATGGTTGTAATGATGATGATGGTGATGATGGTGATGATGATGGTGGTGGTGGTGATGATGATGATGACAACAAGTATGATTACGATGTTTGTAGTGATGGTGATGGTAATGATGATGATGATGATGATGATGGTGGTGGTGATGGAGGAGGGGAGGAGAAGGAGGAGGGGGAAGAGGAGAAGGAGGAGAATGATACCAACACCATGCAGTACACCAGAAAATGAGCTAATGACTAATATGATACAATCAGATCAAAACACAAGACACTGGGATATTGGTGGGCCTGCGCTGAATGTCGAGACCGCTGGATACGCATTGCTGTCTCAACTTCATCTCGGTCGACTAAAACATGGAGGTCCCATCGTCAAGTGGCTCACAGAACAAAGAAACGCAGAAGGTGGCTTTGTATCTACTCAAGATACCTGTGTCGCTCTTCAAGCTCTTGCAAAGTACAGCGAGAAAACGGCAGGAGCCCAGCTTGACCTCCGGGTCTCCGTCACACCTGAAAAAGATGCTATCTGGAGAAGAACGTTTCATGTTGAGAAAAGCAATGCACTCATACTTCGTAAAGTTGATGTAAGCAAAAAAATAGACTTTGTTACATTGGGAGCAATGCTTTCCCATTTCAGACCAAGTGCCATTCTCTTGATTATCATTTCTTTGTTTAACGGTGGGGCATGAAAAGGGACATGAAAATATGGATACAATTAAAACAAGGAAGCTTATTCTCAAGAGAATGACACGTGGTCTGAAATGGGAAAATATTACACGCAAGCGAAATAGTTCCATCACATTCTCTTCTACACAGAATTTTATCACGCGGAGTGTCAATAAAAAAGAAACGGTCCCCTAAGCTGAAAAGGTATATTTTTTTAAATATTCGTTTTGTGTTTTGTTTTAGATCACCCCTTTCCTTGGTGGAGAGTTGTTTATTGACAGCTCAGGAACTGGTGTTGGTCAGATGCAGGTTAGAAGCGCGCCTCCCATGACGGACATGCAATAGACTACGTCGATCGACGATACGGCGGCCATCTTGAATCACAAGGCATTGTGGGTAATCCAGGGGGCAAAGAGACAAAGCTCTGTTACAGTAATGGCGTCGATTGACATTTGCGGTTCATAACAAGACAATATGACAAAAGATGAGTTTAATAAAGACGTAGTTCCACAACTGAGGAAATTTCTCAAATATCGTGGGGTCGTCATTTCAGCGACACGAGTGAAGAACGTCTGCGCATGCTCTGAATCTGTATGCAAATTAGTCAAAACATAAGTAAATTTGACTTTCAAACATGCCTGATAAATTGGACTTCACAAAATACCAAAACTTAGTGTCCATGCTTGAAACTTAAGGCTAATTCTTTCATATTGTGTTTGTTAATACAGTATCTTGGTCTGACAAAAGTATAATCTCGAATGTTTTTGTATACTTGGAGAAAACAAACATCATTTTCTCACTCAAACTCTTCAAAATTCTTAGAAAACGTGCAAACATGCACGCATGCGCAAATGTTTTTCTCTAGTGTCCATTTCAGCATCTTTGTTTTGTCCCCCCCAAGCGACCCATAATGCCTTGCGATTCAAGATGGATACTGCATCGTCAAAGTACCCCAAGGTCTCTCTATTGTTGGATCTAGGATCGTGAGTCGCTGCGCGCTACTTTTTATCTCCACGTCATGTGCAATCATGAATCTATAGTTAGACGACGACGCGAACTTAGGACGAAAGCACAAGCCTCTTAGCTGTCTATTCATCATCTCACTCTACAATGATCATTCCTTTATGTGTTTATTATTGGAAGAGGAAGTACATGGTCAGCATCGTTGGCAGTTAAATTTCAACTGAAGAAGCTATCATTAAATATACATACCTTTTTCAATAAACTTTGTCATCACCAAAGGCGATAGGCGATAGGCGAAATGCAATAGGAGATGGGTCATTCCAAGATCCAAGAATAGCTGGAATTAGTTGTGTTTATACTTCTTATTCTCGTCAAGAACATGGACTTTAGTGTTGAGACTGATTCAATGTTCTTTGTGGTGGACGAAACCATTTTTTCTTGCAATGACCTATCGCTCATCGTCTTTGGCGATGACAACTTGTTTTTAAAAATAGGTGTATTAATTTTTCTTCTTAGATTGAAATTCTCCACAATGTACCCTCATCAAAAAACGAGACATGTTTGTTTGACCTTAGAGTCTCTGTACAAGAAGAGTTTGATGGTAATAAGGTATCCGACGATGGGTTGTTCATCGTGGGGCGATCCACGCGAAGAGCAAAACGGGCACTTCGAAGCAGAAGAAAAAAGAAAAGCAAAAAGTGTAAGAAAAGGAAAGGAAAGAGGCGACATTGTAGTAAACCGGCATCCAAAAAGAGTCCAAAAAAGTCCAATAGAAACAAGAAACCCAAGAAGAATAAGCGACGGAATAAAAAGAAGAAAAATCAAAAGAAAAAAGAGGAAAAACAGAAAACGCAAGCAAGAGCGCCTGATTCGTTGTACGTAGAGGCTTGTACAAGGTCAGTGAAAAAACAAGACAATAAGCTGAGCACATTAGGGGGAACATTAGTGGCGTACGCCTATAAATGCGTCGTCTTTCACCGCTGAGAGTCCAACGGGTTGGGTCACTACATTAAATAGTTTATATGATGTGTTGTTCTCTCGCTTGCCACGAGGGTTTTTCTCCGGGTTCCCCTTTCGTAAAAATTAACATGTGAGTCGAACGTTGTGTGTGTATAGAATATTTGAA